TAATTAAAGCAATCACTTTTTAAGTCTAGTCAAACAACCTTTGGATGGATGGTTGGGAGCGACTTAATATTTCAGCAAATTACTTTTGACCCATTTGAAGTATTTAAGAAGATTCATGTTAGATCTTTTTTGTGTTGGAATGGGAGAGCTAACAAGTTTGCCTTTTCTTTCTATGACTGGTCCTTAAATTCAAGTTTATGTGCAGAAAATGTAAGATGAGCTGTAATCGAGGGATGAAGGACCCCTTGTATTCCCTACTAGAAGTACATTTCTTTTGCTGTGATAACCGAAAAATGTCTTTGATATCATAAAAAATAGAGTTAAAAAGAGAGAGAGAGAGAGAAAGTAACGTAGTGTATTGTGTGCCTTATTTGAGTTGTCCTTAAATTCAAGTTTATGTGCAGAGAATGTAAGATGATCTGTGATCGAGGGATGAAGGACCCCTTGTATTCCCTACTAGAAGTACATTTCTTTTGCTGTGATAACCGAAAAATGTCTTTGATATCATAAAAAAAAAGAGTTAAAAAAAAAAAAAAGAAAAGAGCTACGTAGTGTAGCGTGTGCCTTATTTGAGTTGTTCCATTCCAGGGCGTGGTTTGGACTTCTGTTATGGCCACATGAATAGTTTAATAAGTATATTTAGTTTGGTTGATTTTATTAATTTGTCTTTGAATAATAATCGTTTTTTTTATCCTACAAAAGACAAATATTTTTTTTACTTTAATTTTATGATTATTTCTTAATTTTAATTATTTATCATCTAATATAATAATTTTTTATTTTATTAATTTTTAAAGATAAAATAGATTAATATAGAAATTATCCCCAAAACGTTAATTTCAAAATAAAATTAAAAAATATTTATTATTCTAAGATAAAAGAAGTAATAACATATAGGCAAAATTGATGGCTTGAATCCATTGTGGTGCACTTAAATGATTAAGAAATCATTTGAATCATGTTGACAATGCAGATTTGAATTCTTCAAACATTATTTAGGTGCAAACAATCTTAATAAGTTATATTTGTCACCCTTAAAAGTAGAATTTTATTTAATATTTGTGGATAAAGTAATTTATCAGTATTCATAAGATTAATCAAATTAAAGACCTAAATACTCTTTTTTTTTTTTAAAGAAAAAGAAAAGTAATGGCTTGAAATTTTGGGCCATACAAATCACAACAAATTATCAAAGTGAGTCCGAGCATCTAACACCTTCAGGTTGTATTTAGTTTATGGTAATGACCATGTTTTAGTGTTGAATCATAAAAATTAAGTAAGTTTAAAAAATTTCTTTAAGAAGTTAAGAATAGTTAAGTTTCAATGTTAATATTTTACTAAAGTAAGTGATGATAAGTGATGTGAACTTTTGGTATTGAGATTGGGTGCCAATCCGTTCACCAGTATGTCAAGGTTACGTAATTTGTTTAATTTTTATCTTAATTTAATTATTAAAAATATTTAATAATTAATGAAATAATTAATATTTATTATTATTTAATTAATAAATTAAAAT